GTAAATATAGGCTTAAGGGTGGCAACTGAAGTTATGATGGAGTGGTCATGGAAGTTGAAACCAGACTCAAATTCACTGAACACCACGCTTCATTCATTTTTTTCACTAGCATACTGTCATGGATTGAGATTGGCCCCCCTGAGAGTTCGGGGGCTCAGAGGGGATTGGGTGCCAGGGCAGTGTTCCCTGGAGGGCCAATCACCACTCGTCTTGTTTGCTTCTGCTGAAAAATCATATATACACAGCACCGGAAGATATTGGCAATTTTTGTCTGTGTCTGCTGCGTGTGGGTGTAGAAGGCTAGGGGGTGGCTGGGCCCCCTTCTTTCCCCCCTCCAGGGGGGGAAGGAGAGCCCTTTGCCCCCCAACTCTGCCTAGGCCAGAGTTGGAGGCAGCATTGGAGTGAGTGTGTTTGTTGTGAGGAGAGAGGCTCACAACCGTTGAGGTAAGCGGGAGAGAGAGAAGGCAGGCCTTGCAGCCAAGCCCTCTTCTTCCTCCCCCCACTTTTTGCAGTTAGGCTGTAGAGGGGGGCTATTTCTTTCCCTCCTTTTGGGAGAACAGAGATTGTGCGTGAACAATTTCTATTGCGTTTCTGTGAGCCTTGCCTTGGCATAGCTGGGTGTAGGCAGTAAAAGAACTGCATAGCTAAATATGGCTACAGGCGTTGAAGTTAGAACAAAGGAGGCTCCCTGCCAAAGTTAAGGTGGAATTTCAGGAGAGTGAACATATGCCCTCAGCTCATATGGACACCTCTTGTGGTCCAATTAGCAGTGGACAACAAAGTATGTTTTCCTTATGTATCCAATGCTGTGTGAAGAAGAATCACATGTCTGAGTGTAATAGGCAGTATATAAAGTGTCTTTCTTCTAATAAAGCCGACATTTTGCCAATCAAATTGGTCTGTGAGTAATCTGTTCGTGCCTCTCCACCGATACCCTCCCACCGTGAGGGGAGGAGAGGCTCAGCATTGAAGCAGAGTCAAGTGGACGGGCTGATAACGAAAGCAGCTCGGTACCAGGGAGAAGAATCCCAGGTGAAATTGGAGACGGACCGGAGAAAGGCCCGGAGGATGTCTTTGCCGTGATCTAAACGGAGGACAGCTGAAAACTCGGTGGAGGAATCAACATTCCAGGACATGTACGTTGATAAGCTGACTGAACTACAGTAGCCTACAGAACCGAGGTATGAGACTGAGAGAGAGAGATCACACAGCAGAAATGACACAGAACCAAGGAGAAAGGACTCAAAGCTATCTTCTTGGACTTTGTGAGGAAAAAGGACTTCAGCAACCAGCTGGAGGTTTGGTGAGGGAGTGTTTCAGGTTCCCTAAACACTCCCACGAGCAAGAGACTGCGTTACCTATCAGCCTTGAAAGGCTTTTGCTGGACTAAAGTTAAAAGGAGAAGCTTTGAAGCGACTGATAGAAGTGCAATATATATATATATATATAGTTGCTTTTAGCTTGTATAGTATTTATTTGTGTAAATAAAATGTATATATGCTTTCCCCTTCCCCTATAGAAGCCTCTGGCCTGAAAGTTTTCTCTTCGGTGTCGGGATAGATTGTGGGAAGGGGTGGGGGAAGTCTGGAAATTGGATTTTGGATTTCTAATGTGGCTCAAACTGCCACACATACCCTGATTGTTGTTCTTTATAATTCACACTCTATCCTTGCCAGCATTCTTTAACGATCCTAAATTAATCATGATTGACCTTCTCCCAAATTGTCTAAAAATACCATAACATTTGCAGTCAACTTGGAGAAGAAAACATTTAAGTGATACTAGAGCAGTTCATTTTAGTTACAGTACAATAAATATGATTTCTGAGTGAATTCATTATTGTATGTATTTATATATGCATATTTTATGTCAGAGCAAATTAATTAAAATGGAAAAAAATGGTAAAAAATGGGCCAGTAGTAAGGTAGTAAAAGAACTTCAGGGATATTTTTTAGGAGAAAGAAAAAAATAACAATATTTTTGTCTGAACAAATTCTGAGCACTGAATATACTTTTATGGAACATTTTCAAATAATAAAATTACCATTCTTTATAAAGTAAGTGTGAAGCTGTTGAAGGCTTTATTGATATACATACTGTGGAAGCTAATGCATTGCTTACACAGATCTTAAAATATTCTATCTGAAAAGGTATTCTAAAACAGAGTGTCTTGTGACCCATTCTGAACACTAATTGGTCAAATAATACAGTACCACAGGGAACAGGCACTCATGAACTTATAATACAGTTCTGTTCCCCAGGATCTGCCCTTAAAACAACTAGAGCTGTTTGCCAGTCTGGAGTAGTGCTATCATTTAGTTCTACACAGCAGCATATCATTCTGTTCCCATTTATTGGGAAATTACACCAGTTCACTCTTAATTAAAGATTCTAGCTTGTCTTTCCTAAGACAGCTATTGGTTTGAAAGCTCATAATAGCTTTAGAGAACACTTGACGTGTTCTCAGTCCTTTTAACCGTTCATTTGAAGCATAGGAGTGTCTACTTTCATAGCAAGAAACAGAAATTTAATCATCTTCATTTGGTTTCTATTTGCTGTTAATTGAGCAGCATTATTCCTCAGGATTTTATTTGAATGCATCACATAGGTATAGTTATTTTCATTATACATACTTTTTACATATATCCCAGCAACTGCAACAATCCACTTATGATGATATGGGGAATTCACTTGTCCAAAACAGGCATGGGAAATAATCGGAATGCTTGTCAAAGATCCTGCTAACCAATGTCAAAAAAAAGATAGGCTGCATGCACATTTCTCCCCAGCTAGGAACTTTATCCACACAGGGGTAACTCATCTTTGTCATCACTAAGACATAGAATGAGACCTGGGACAATAAAACCCTAGTGCCATTTAAACCATCAAAAATATCAAGTAGAAAATTGTGATGCTGCTGTCATCATAGCACGCCTTCTTCAAGTCACAGGATTTTGATGCAGAAGATAGAAGGGGCCATGTTTCCCTTCAAAGAGGATGTCTGTTTCCAGTGGTCCCTGTCACATTAAGGCAGACTCGGATGACATTAAAAAAATCAAACTTGATTTTGTTTTGATTGAATTATGATGTCATAACAACTCCTACTGAAATGCAAGCAATTACACAGAAGACTTCAAGCTGTTAATTAGATCTTGTTCTTATGCGGACACGTGAAGAGCATATACATATATGCTCTTATTTTGTATGCAGTTATATATATACAATATTTTTAAAAATCTCACCACACACAAAAAGACAAAATGCACAAATGTGGTGCTCTGAAGTTTATGATACAATTCCTTTGTAAAAAAAGGAAGGGAAGGCAGCATCCACCTTCTGTATCTTACACTTCCTGACCCTTTCACTTCACTCCTCTATGTTTCCATTAATAGCTTAATAACTAGTATTGCAATTAGCTGAGCTTGAGCTGATGTTTTGGCAAGTTGTTTTCATACTCCAGCTGAGTCAGGAAGATTTTCCAGGTGGCTTTCACTCAAAGAAAGCTATCCAGAGATACTCGGCAGGGCAGTCTCCAAACAGTTACAGTATTTTTCTCTAGCAGTAAAAGAGTTTACGTCAGGATTTATCTCCTGTCTCCTCCACCATACCCCATGTGTGCCAGTTCAAAATGCTCATAATCTTAACAAGTTTCCCTCCAACTAGCATACTCAGGATGGAAATCTCTCTAGGATTAGTCTGACACAGGCATCCTGCTTTTGCATAGCTTCTGGCTTGCTTTGTGGTGCTTGAAGCAAGGAAGCAGGATCTGCAGACTAGCCTCAATAAGATATATTTAGCCACCATCTACAGACTTCATGTGTTGCCATTTGGCATTGTTTCTTGACACAAGCAAAGTGTGAAGTATAAGAAAAACCCCATGCCAAGTTGTTCTGCACCTCAAGCAACACAATAGTTTAATTGCACTGTGGTCTGTCTTAAAGACTTTAATGCTAAATGCTAGAATGCCTTTCTTTAGTATGTGGCTAATTTATATTTAGATTTGGAGAAGGCAGAGGATAGAATGGAAAACTATATAGAGTGAAAGACAATTAAAGAACAAGATATGATAAAATATGTGTTATTATAGTATTTACTGTACCCTATGGGTTATAGCCTATCAGCCTAAGATACAACACTCTCTTGAAGAGAAGCATCCTGGTTCTGTTTGTTTCTTTGATTTGATTTGGGACAAGTAGTATAAAACTTGCCATGTCTTCACTTTGAATATTTCTCAAAGTATTAATCTCTCCCTGCAGAAGTGAGGTGTGTTCAATATTTACAAACTCTTTCCTCTCACAGACATCTTGCTACTTGAGCTGGAAGACTTTTGTTCCTCTCCACTCCTCTTCGCTTACAGCATCCTGAGCTCAGAGATGCTCTGTTTTATTCACTGTCTTTGAGTGGTGACTCTCACTTTTATAGCAGATCAAAACCACAGGTGATCTGCCTTTGGCCCACCAGGTAAATTGGCTTATGTTTCCTTTTTCTGCCTCAACTTTCCCAAGTGTAAGATGGCAAGGATGTTACTTCAAGGTCCGCATGTCTATGTTCTAATAGTGTAAGATTTTGCTAGTATGTACTGAGAGCTGCTGATTCTAGAAGGCTAACAGTGGTGAGGAAGTCCCTTGTCCCCAGGGCAAGTGAGTAGGAAGGCTCACATTTAGACATAGCACAATACATGTATACAAGAACACATGGCCAGCCTCACTGACAGAAGAAAAGGCATTTACAAAAACATAGACAACATTAATATTCTCATCCTGTTCCCTCTGTTTCTGATCAGTGTGAAAGTCTGTTAGTGGAAAATATATAAATATATAGGCATATATATATTCAATATACATATATATGTATATATTCAATATGGATCCCTACAGTAACTGGCCTTAGATATACATCTGCAGTAGCTTTGAACCCAATTGTCTCCAAGTTGCTTCATGCACACTCATACACACACAAACATCTATTGCTGGTAGCTGGTTCAGAGTGGTGGAACTTACCTTTACCCATCTCAGACCTCTGGTCCTGAAGTAGCTGGCTTGGATCTATGACCAGTCCAGTAAACAACTCTCAGACCTTCTGGTCTCAGTGATACCCAGCCCACAATTAGGCCCACCCCAATACACAGCTCCCAGACCTCTCAACCTATTTACCACTAGTCCAGCTTGATGTTTGCTAGCAATTGAATACACTGACACACGCACCCAGACAACATGCAGACACCCCAGTCTCTCCAATTGCTGGCACTCTGGTGTACGCCTCTATGACACCCCCACAGTCAAGACTGTCACTATTCCACACAAGAATACTCACAGACAGACAGACCCCATTCGACCAGGAAACAGAAATGGAGATCAGTGAGAAAATAGAATAGAAGGTGCTGAACAGCACTTGCTGATATACTTCCAGACCCTTGCAGTAAAATGAATACTGGACAACTTATAGGAAAAACATCTGAGACAGGTCCTCATTATCTGGAGCAAGGTTCCTGCTCCTCCTAGGACTATCCACCAAGATGTATTGGTCTTCTGCAACAATAAGGGCTTCTAATGACCTTTTACATCAGGAACTGAGGTTTTACAGCAAGGTTGAAGGGTTCAAATTCACTGCTAGACAGAGGAGAATTGAAAAATGCATCATGAGTTTATCTAGCCACCAACCCAAAGCATGGATGTGGGAGCTTTTGTTTGGTTTTGTCCCTCTATTTACATTTATATCTATTGGATGAACTGATAGTAGTAGGCAATTTTCATTTAGTGACAAAAGCATAATGTCCTAAACAAGAACCAGCTGAATGAAGCCACAGGCAAGTTATGCCATGCTGTTCCTAACACATGAAAATAAAAGCATTGTTCACCAGTGTTTGTGAGATTGAGGTTGTTTGGATGAAAGAGAGCACATTAATATTCATAGGTACAGCATGGGATTAGGTAGGGACTTTTGTTAGCTGTCTTCGGTGTACGGTGCTATATTTCTTTTGCTGTTCTGACTATAAAATAGTTGCAACTGGGAAACACATTTCAGAGTTGTAATTCTGTGTTTTTTCACCAGTGCCTGTCTGTAGTTGCTAGCACAGACAAAAGCACAAATCCTGTTATCTGCCCAGGATACGTTATCACCTTGCTATGCACATAGGTCCACTAATTTTAAACTACTCATAGACTAAAACACTGATGAAAAGGAGGAAGCGTCAGAAAAAGCAGAGTAGAATGAAGTAGCCAGATTTATGACTTTTTACTGACCAAGTTGGTTGAGAAGTAGACCAATCAAAAGCTGAAAGTTGATGCAAAAAAAAAAATTTATATTCCTCTCCACAATGATGTTTTTACACAGGTTAGTAGTTAGACATTTTGTAAGATTTTTTTTTTTTTAAACGAAAAGCCAAGCACAAATGAATAGCTGCTTTGTAGAAAAACACCTATTGTTTTTTCATTTAATTTGTTTATATTTTAAACACCACTGGTTCAGGAAGTCTGATGAATCCTGTTTCTCAGGAGAAGAGAGAAAAACATTGTCGACTGACAGTTTTTTGGGAGGATAAATGTTGGTGCAAACCATCCCACCCTTCTCATTAACTTTTTTTCCGGGGGCAGCTGGGCAACTTATTCAATTTAATAATCTAGTAATTTTGACACTATTATAAGTAAAGTTTCCATTGTGAAAACATTTTGCAATTCCTCTCGTTCATATCTAGGCTTTTGTCTGCTGTAGGCCAGGATGGAGAGAGGCTGGTCCTACCACAGTTGTGTCAATAGCCATGAAGCCCTCATTTTCTCTATAAAGTTAAAAAAAGTAGAAGACAAAGTTGCAAGAGCAATAACTTTTCCCCACAATTACTTCTTACACACTTGCAAAACTGCTTTACAAAATTGCTCAAAATGATGGTTTGCTTCCCGTCAAAGTGCTGTAAGCGAACGATACGCTGACTGTTCTGGAAGTAAATCTAGCAAGACCTAACATTGGAAAGGGGGACTGAGAGTATCTTAGTATGCACTAAAAAAAAAAAAACCTGCTATGGAAAAGAAAACATGCACACCGACTAATGGAAAGCATGAGTAATCCAATAGGGCTGCTGTTCAACAACAATTTGTTCAGCTGAAAATATTACTTCTGTAATGCAGCCAAGGTGAATGTCAGCTTAGGTTATCTGCTATGGAAGTGCCAGAGATGTGGGTGAGATCTTCCCAGGAAGATTTAGCAGACTTGCACTTAGCTATGAGGTCCAACTTCAAGTTTTCTTTAATCATTAATACTAGCACCTTTTTTTGCATCTTACTGTGCTTCCTGGGCAGCTTGCACATTCTCTGTTGCTCATCTTGCCTTCTCATTCACTCCTATTGAAGAGGTATTCCTGGGAGAACATTCTGGCTAATATCTGGGGTATTTAGGTACTCAGGTTTTTTTCTCTGCAATCCATAGTACAAAACATAAGACATCTTAAACCGGAATAACTCTTCCATAAGCTTCATTGTTTTTCCTCACCCCTCCAGAGAATTTGTCTCCTCTCTTTGAACTTACTGGCCATAAAAAGCCATGAAGTTATTTTGCTTGGAAGAGAAGGAAGACAAAGTTTTGTCTCACCAGAAACCTAGGTTCTGTCATGCTCCTGCTTCTAATAGCCTCAGTCTGGAGTAGCTTTCGGCAGTACTAATGCATGAGATTTATAATGGCATAAGATCTCACTAAGCCATTAGTCTCATAGCATTTTCAGAAAGATACTGTTAACAAACACCAAAAGTGTTACTGCATCTCTAACCGTGGACTGTGATCCCACAGCAATGGCCCAGCTTCTTCCTAATCTTAAATAGACACTTAAATTTTAACTGATGTGAACCCAGATTTCATAATGTTCCCAGACGTTTGGAAATAGTATGTGCAAAGGATGTATTTCCAGACAATGTTGCTAAGCTTCAGGGAAAGCATTTTCTTATTTCCACATTTATTAGCTGTGCAAAAATGACTCTTTGCTGCATGGTCATCCACCTGGGATTGCTGCCAAATGAAGGGAGGGGATCTTACTAGGAAAAGAATGGGAGAACTAATAGAAAAGTTAATAAAAGCTCATTATAGCTGCAACCTGGTCAGCAGTCTTGGCATTCAATTATTCCCTAAGAGAGACTGATGTGTAAAGATAATTTCCTGCTTTCTTTTGCACTCTCTCCCTCTCCTAGTAAAGAAACTGAGTATTTTTTAAATTAATTTAGTGCAGGCCAAATAGTGTTCAACATCAGAAATAGTGTATTGCCTACATTTTGATAAAGAATTTAAAGTTCTGCTCAAAAATATCTTTCAAAGGAAACTGTTAAAAGCTGATCTGACTCAAAAAGTCTTTCAAAGGAGTGAGGGAGTGTGACAAAGAAGAAATGTATTTCAGAACCAACAGAATACTCAGTCACTGTGTTCGTTTACCCTTTATTACTGGAAGGGATTTTGCAACATCTTTAACAGTATTCATACCAAAAAGGTATAAGGAGAGCCCATTAACTCTGAAATTTCATAATCATCACTTGCCATATCATGCTAATAGTTCACAGTATTACCATTTAGTTACAGTTTCTGTTCTGTAAGATTAAAAAAAATATTCATGGCATTTTATCTCCAAAGGTACCCTCTGAGATGATTTGTTTCCGTATTCAACACCCAGCGTCTAGGAGGACTTCTTTCTCCTGTAACTGTTGCCCAATTCCTTTTTCCTATTATATCCAAAAAAATTATTGTTAATGATATTTTTCCTTGAACCATGAAATTTCATACAATTGTTAATGATCTACAACCACAGTCCCAACAGGGAGATAGAGCAAGGAAGTGTTCAGAGTGACAGAAGAAGTCAGTGACATACCTTGTATTAGAAGATATGTTCACCTGCCTATCAGACTGACCATTGCATAAACCCACATTTTTTCTTCACCATTTATTCTTGACGATTGAGTCTCAGGCATGTATACATGAAAAAAAAGGTAAGATTGCACAGACCACTTCTCTAGCTTTACTCCTATTAACGTGATACTGATCATTTTGGGAATTGTCATGAAGGCAAGATTTAAAGTAAAGCTCAAGCTGCACACAGACTGTTGAAGCCATGTTACCCCTCAAACAATCTCAGTAACATAATTTTATTAATCCTAGTTTTCTTTTTATGGGATATACTTCCTATTTTTCTTTTCTTGTTTCCCAACCATTTCCAAAAAAGACCCTGAACTGTTTTGTGGAAATGCTTACGAATTCCTAGAAGTTTAATTTTTGCTGGGGTTTTGTGAGAAATGGAATGGAAGAAGAGAATGGAAACATCAAAACAAGTACTCTTCAGATAGCCCAATCAAATAACAAGGTCCATTCATAACCAGTAATTAATCTAGGACCTAGAGAGAGGTCTTTTCATGTTGTAAAACTGCATTGGGTCAAACATAGTACAGTATCTGTCACATTAGTGTACCCATATCCATCAGATAAAATGTTTAAATCTGCAATGCACTAGTCATTATATATAATAGAACACGATCAGAGGATCAGCACCTGCTGCTTGGAAAACAAACATTTCTGCATTCATGAACCAGCAGGAGGCAATTAACCGATGATAACATTTTATTCCATGGGCATTGGCTCTTAATTACAGATTGTTTTAAAATGTCTTGAGAAATTAGTGTTTATAAAAAAAATTATTTTACTAGAAATAAAGGATTTATTGAGGAATTTTATGATCAACACAACCCTACCAGATGTCTAACATTCTTTTTTCATAGAATAAGGTTACAGAGACAAAAAACATGAGCTAGAGATACCAGGACATAGGAGAAATCACTCCTTGTCTCTCCAACAGCTGCTTTTTGTGACTTCTCACCACTTATTACTATACTAAGTCTTATTAACTTGTAAAATATTATACGTGTAAATATATTTACTAGCTCTATTTGTAAAAAGAGACTGTTTTTGAGGATAGTGTGCCATTCTTAACTGAGTTGGGCTCAAGCCTGCTTTTTAAGTTTGTAGTGATAACTGTTTCCTGCTTCTATTTTACTCCCTCAGCAACAGAACACAACAAATACTGCTACATACATTCCATTAATAATAACCTCAGTTTTACAGTAATAGCTTAGAAAAGAGGAATAATAACTTAATACCAGTAAATGAAATATTAACATATTGGTCAAGATTCTTTCTGGGCTTAGAAAATAAAAGCAG